GGAAGGGGGGTGCAGGGGAAATGGGGGGGGGTGTGAGATTTGCATTCTACATGTATTTCAAGATTAGATCTGACGATGGTGAGATTGTGCTTGTGATGAATTTGATGGTGAGATTGTGCTTGTGATGAATTTGATGGTGAGATTGTGCTTGTGATGAATTTGATGGTGAGATTGTGCTTGCGATGAATTTGATGGTGAGATTGTGCTTGTGATGAATTTGATGGTGAGATTGTGCTTGTTATGAATTTGATGGTGAGATTGTGCTTGTGATGAATTTGATGGTGAGATTGTGCTTGTGATGAATTTGATGGTGAGATTGTGCTTGTGATGAATTTGATGGTCAGGATCTTCTTCTCTTCTTCTACGTTATTAATAGAAGAATCCAGAACGTTGGACGGGATTCCCACTAACACTTATGCGCAATAGAGGCCGTTGACTCAGATTTCAGGCTGTTGATCTTTTTGGATTTGCTTCCATAGGTGATCCAAGAACAATCTACAAGGCAACAGTTGTTTGATTTTGGAGTTGTCTCTCCTAGATGGGTTGCTGTACCCAACTATTGACCCTCATCTACCCGGGGTTTTGAATTCGGGACTTTTCGGTTTAGCGACGGGCCAGGATCTAAATGTGAAGAATGTGAAGGTCAAGATCTAAATGTGAAGAATGTGAAGGTCAAGATCTAAATGTGAAGAATGTGAAGGTCAAGATCTAAATGTGAAGAATGTGAAGTTCAGGATCTAAATGTGAAGAATGTGAAGGTCAAGATCTAAATGTGAAGAATGTGAAGGTCAAGATCTAAATGTGAAGAATGTGAAGGTCAGGATCTAAATGTGAAGAATGTGAAGGTCAAGATCTAAATGTAAAGAATGTGAAGGTCAAGATCTAAATGTGAAGAATGTGAAGGTCAGGATCTAAATATGAAGAATGTGAAGGTCAAGATCTAAATGTGAAGGTCAGGATCTAAATGTGAAGAATGTGAAGGTCAAGATCTAAATGTGAAGAATGTGAAGGTCAGGATCTAAATGTGAAGAATGTGAAGGTCAAGATCTAAATGTGAAGAATGTGAAGGTCAAGATCTAAATGTGAAGGTCAAGATCTAAATGTGAAGAATGTGAAGGTCAGGATCTAAATGTGAAGAATGTGAAGGTCAAGATCTAAATGTGAAGAATGTGAAGGTCAAGATCTAAATGTGAAGAATGTGAAGGTCAAGATCTAAATGTGAAGAATGTGAAGGTCAAGATCTAAATGTGAAGGTCAGGATCTAAATGTGAAGAATGTGAAGGTCAAGATCTAAATGTGAAGGTCAGGATCTAAATGTGAAGAATGTGAAGTTCAGGATCTAAATGTGAAGAATGTGAAGGTCAAGATCTAAATGTGAAGGTCAAGATCTAAATGTGAAGAATGTGAAGGTCAAGATCTAAATGTGAAGGTCAGGATCTAAATGTGAAGAATGTGAAGTTCAGGATCTAAATGTGAAGAATGTGAAGGTCAGGATCTAAATGTGAAGAATGTGAAGGTCATTATCTAAGGTGAAGAATGTGAAGGTCAGGATCTAAATGTAAAGAATGTGAAGGTCAGGATCTAAATGTGAAGAATGTGAAGGTCATTATCTAAGGTGAAGAATGTGAAGGTCAGGATCTAAATGTGAAGAATGTGAAGGTCAGGATTAAACGCATCTGATGAATGTGATCGTCACACACGAATACATTGATACACTAGAGACGTCAGTTAACATTTGACCTTTAAGTAACAAAATGACAAAAAAGAATTCTATTCTATTTAGTTTTGATATTAATCCCCAAATCAACGAATATCTTCACAACAAGCCCGACTCCATTTGTTGCTTGATGCTAACAGATCGCCCTAATGTAGGGGGAGGTGGTGGCGGAGGTGGGATGGGGGAGTAGAAATGACCCCTCGGTTGAAGTGGGTGTACATGAATATGAACTAGTGTAAGACTCGCCCCTTATTTTCGATCCGTTAAGTTAGTCATTACTTTATAAATGCATTTCGCGCGAACAGTTCGTCTAGCTAATGTTGCCTGTCCGGTATTTAACGATATACGGTCTTGTTCGCTGGTCAGAATCTCATTGTTATACCGTGGCCAGCGCTAGCCCACTTGTGCACACAGAATGGTATGTATAATATAGTAGACTCGGTACTCAAAAGTAAGTTGTTATTAGAAATGACTTTGTTAATGCTAAACACATGAAACCATTCTACTTTACTATACAAATGATAGAGATAAACAGTGATCGATATTTATAAAGCATCAGATGAACGAGACAGAAATTTGTCTTAGGTCTTTAACGTGTGAGTTAGAGCGTTACAGAGGTGTGTTATTCATGACGTCACCATTTTACAGGGCAGCAATCACGTTAGGGAAGATAAAGGCGATTGAGCATAAAGCTGACGTCACTATGCCGAGGTCACAGAAACACGTTATCACCTGAAGACACCAACCTGCCGAAGGTCTCCACATCATCCCATGAAGACACCAACCTGCCGTAGGTCTCCACATCATCCCATGAAGACACCAACATGCCGTAGGTCTCCACATCATCCCATGAAGACACCAACCTGCCGTAGGTCTCCACATCATCCCATGAAGACACCAACATGCCGTAGGTCTGTCTCCACATCATCACCTGAAGACACCAACCTGCCGTAGGTCTCCACAACATCACCTGAAGACACCAACCTGCCGTAGGTCTCCACATCATCATCTGTAGACACCAACCTGCCGTAGGTCTGTCTCCACATCATCACCTGAAGACATCAACCTGCCGTAGGTCTCCACATCATCACCTCAAGACACCAACCTGCCGTAGGTCTCCACATCATCACCTCCAGACACCAACCTGCCGTGTGTCTCCACAACATCACATCAAGACACCAACCTGCCGTAGGTCTGTCTCCACATCATCACCTGAAGACACCAACCTGCCGTAGGTCTGTCTCCACAACATCACCTGAAGACACCAACCTGCCGTAGGTCTGTCTCCACATCATCACATGAAGACACCAACCTGCCGTAGGTCTGTCTCTACATCATCACCTGTAGACACCAACCTGCCGTAGGTCTGTCTCTACACCATCACCTGAAGACACCAACCTGCCGTAGGTCTGTCTCCACATCATCACATGAAGACACCAACCTGCCGTAGGTCTGTCTCTACATCATCACCTGTAGACACCAACCTGCCGTAGGTCTGTCTCCACATCATCACCTGAAGACACCAACCTGCCGTAGGTCTGTCTCCACATCATCACCTGAAGACACCAACCTGCCGTAGATCTGTCTCTACATCATCATCTGTAGACACCTACCTGTCTTAGGTCTGTCTCCACATCATCACCTGAAGACACCAACCTGCCGTAGGTCTGTCTCCACATCATCACCTGAAGACACCAACCTGCCGTAGGTCTGTCTCCACATCATCACCTGAAGACACCAACCTGCCGTAGATCTGTCTCTACATCATCATCTGTAGACACCTACCTGTCTTAGGTCTGTCTCCACATCATCACCTGAAGACACCAACCTGCCGTAGGTCTGTCTCCACATCATCACCTGAAGACACCAACCTGCCGTAGATCTGTCTCTACATCATCATCTGTAGACACCTACCTGTCTTAGGTCTGTCTCAACATCATCACCTGAAGACCCGTTCTAGACGAGACATTGTTGAGAATTTTGTGAAAATAAAACGTTACGACAAGCTGGTAACTCACCCCACTGCAAGGGAAATAACAACTGTATTTAGGAACAACCATGTATTCCTAGAGTCTATGACGTATCGCATGTACTGGAAGCTGAGTCATCAAACAAGAGACGGTCCTAAGATTACATTGACAGTGATGAATGCAAGAAAGGGTGAAGCATTTCACAGTTAGCCCCCTCGACCCCCCCCCACACACACACACCAACCGTTCTTTATCTACCCACAACCTTACCCTCTGGTGAATGAGCTTGTAGTCAATGATGTTGTAGGTGTTGTGGAGGTTGTAGTGAATGTGATGGTGATGAATTATTTGTGATGAATGGTTTATTCGGAATGTTGTTGTTGAAATACCCTGGATTACATATTTTCTGATTGTGAAAAGATGTATTTTTATTGTAAACTCTAGATAATAATTGAATACAGTGTATTGTCTAAAACCGCAACACAAAAATCAAGAAGTCAAAATTAAGTTTTAAACGAAAAAATATTTTCATTAGAGTTTTTTTAGAGAAAAAAATCTTTATTCATGGTCAATGGGAAACAACTAAGGAATTGGTTAAAATTTAGTCTTGCTGCAGTTGCTTCCCTTTAATAATAAATAAAGTGTGGATTGCCAAAGGGCAACAACCAAATAAATGCTAAAAATTTAGTCACGCTGTAGTTGCTTTTCTTTAATAATAATTGAAGAGTAGCACGTCACAAGGGAAGCAACCAAATAAATGTTGAAATATTAGTCATCTTGTAGCTGCCTCCCCTTAAATGTAATTTGGTAGGTAACGTGATACTAATGATTATTATGCTTTCTGTTTTTATATTTCTATGGACATTTATATTGAATTGAAGAACCGTTTTTTACACATTTCTAGCTTAATTTTGAAATGATCTTTTAAACTACTTATACAATGTTAAAAACGAAGCTGAAAACGAATCGATAAATCAAAAGAAAAGTAAAATACGACAATAAAAATAGTGCAACATCAAAAGCGGGCCCGAAAATTTGGAACCGAAAAATTGGCTCACGGCATATTGGCTCCCAAAAATGGGATCTCAACATATTGGCTCATGACAAAATAACTCCTGACATAACCGCTCCGGACAACCCACTAACCACACGCTCTTCCAAGCTTCACTTAAATAGCTAAATAAAAAACTTCCTGAACCACAAGAGATTTAAAGATATACGAGCAAAATTTGAGATACGCGGAACAAAAAGAGCGTGTTTCACAATATGTGGAAAAACCCGCAAAAGTGTTTGATGACTTGCACCATTTCAGAAACATGCTGAACGGAAGGAAGAAACATGCGTCCTTTGACTGTTGAAGGTGGGGAAAGTGAGTTGAGTGTGGTCAAAGACCAGCGACGAAAAGTAAGCGATTTTTTTTCAATTGCACAATATATTGTTCCCTTATGTTGGGTGAAGTTTTACTGAGTTCCTCTAAGTTTGGGGATAAAGATTAAATATTTGGCATTTGGATTTATTTAATTTTTTTTTTTTTTTGAGAAACGACGTTCCTAGATCTGGATTAGAAGGGACACTTAACTTCTGGGCGGGGGAGGGGGGGATATTTAAAATAGGTATAAATATATATTTTCCATTTAAACTGTAAATATAATGTTTTCTATTTCAGCAGGGGATGGGGGGGGGGTGTGTTTGTGATCTAAAGGTGGGGTGGGGGGGGGGGGTGGGTTGTCTACAAGAAACATTGTCCTAGTTCCGTTTATAGATATATTCAAGCTCATACGCATGCTTACACAAACGCAAACGCACAAAATCCTCCCAACTGTAACATCGGCAATTATTAAAATTTTAGTCAACAGGGAAGTAATTAGCGAACTGTTTTTTATGGAGTCCTAGTTATATCCCTTTTAGATAAATTATATTTTTTATTATTTCTTATTTGGAAAGCGACTGCGCCCATAGAGCTTGTGGACTTACATTAACATCATTTTTCCACTGGAATGTACACATCAATACATGTACCAGCATTGACCAATAATTGTAGCAGGGAACTAGCTATACAAAACAGGAACAACGGTTGTAGCATGGAACTAGCTTTACCAAACAGGAACAACGGTTGTAGCATGGAACTAGCTATACAAAACAGGAACAACGGGTGTAGCAGGGAACTAGCTTTACCAGACAAGAACAACGGTTTTGGAAGGGAACTAGCTATACCAGACAAGAACAACGGTTTTGGAAGGGAACTAGCTATACCAGACAAGAACAACGGTTTTGGCAGGGAACTAGCTATACCAGACAAGAACAACGGTTTTGGCAGGGAACTAGCTATACCAGACAAGAACAACGGTTTTGGCAGGGAATTAGCTCTGCCAGAAATAAACAATGGTTGGCCCAACTTACTAGCTGGTCCAGAAATGGCCAATGGTTGGCCCAACTCACTAGCTGGTTCAGAAATGGCCAAAGGTTGGCCCAACTTACTAGCTGGTCCAGAAATGGCCAATGGTTGGCCCAACTTACTAGCTGGTCCAGAAATGGCCAATGGTTGGCCCAACTTACTAGCTGGTCCAGAAATGGCCAACGGTTGGCCCAACTTACTAGCTGGTCCAGAAATGGCCAATGGTTGGCCCAACTTACTAGCTGGTCCAGAAATGGCCAACGGTTGGCCCAACTTACTAGGTGGTCCAGAAATGACCAAAAGTTGGCCCAACTCAAGGCCATGTCAAGAAATGGCCAAAGGTTGGCCCAACTCACTACCATGTCAAGAAATGGCCAAAGGTTGGCCCAACTCACTACCATGTCAAGAAATGGCCAAAGGTTGGCCCAACTCACTACCATGTCAAGAAATGACCAAAGGTTGGCCCAACTCACTGCCATGTCAAGAAATGGCCAAAGGTTGGCCCAACTCACTGCCATGTCAAGAAATGACCAAAGGTTGGCCCAACTCACTACCATGTCAAGAAATGGCCAAAGGTTGGCCCAACTCACTACCATGTCAAGAAATGACCAAAGGTTGGCCCAACTCACTAGCTGGTCCAGAAATGACCAATGGATGGCCAAACTCACTACCTGGGCCAGGAGTTACCAATGGATGGCCCAACTCTACTTCTACGACAGCCGGGACCCATGGTATGTTCAAGTTGTTTCGTCAGTACTGAATGTTGGCCACATGTCCATTCCGGCATTTGTCGTAGATCCCTTTCTTTTACACTTCACACAATACAATGTTGCCATTATACCAACACCTACTTCACATAACACAATGTTACCTTTATACCAACCTCTACTTCACATAACACAATGCTACCTTTATAATAAAACCTACTTCGCATGACAAAATGTTACCTTTATACCACCCTCTACTTCACATAACAAAATGTTACCTTTATACCACCCTCTACTTCACATAACACAATGTTACCTTTATACCACCCTCTACTTCACATAACACAATGTTACCTTTATACCACCCTCTACTTCACATAACACAATGTTACCTTTATACCACCCTCTACTTCACATAACACAATGTTACCTTTATACCACCCTCTACTTCACATAACACAATGTTACCTTTATACCACCCTCTACTTCACATAACACAATGTTACCTTTATACCACCCTCTACTTCACATAATGCACTGTTACCTGTATACCACCACCTACTTCACATAACACAATGTTACCTTTATACCACTACCTACTTTATACCACAGATCAGTAGCGTACGCAGGGGGGGAGCAGGGGGAGCGGCCGCTCCCCCTCTGGCCATTTTCAGCAAAGTTGCGCCTTTTTGGAAACTTTTTAAACTCAAAGTTTTAAACAATGATATTTGTTAAAAAAATATGTTTGGTTGGCACATCTATGTAAATCACAAGATTTCTTTTCATGCAGCAATTAAAGCATTATTGTACTAGTCTAGTAGTGTCTACGTTTAAAACACGTTTTAACAGCTGCATTAGTTTGCCCTTCTAAAAAAAACCTCTACGGGTAGTACCACTTGGCAAGAGGTGTTTTAAGTTTAAGGCAACTGTATAATGTATTTGCTTACGAATAATTGAATTAGAAAATGTTATACATAAAACTTCACACATAATTACTTTATATATACAGTTTGAATCGTGTGATTAAAAAAAATGCAATACAGAAACAAGTATAACTGATGTGGCACCTCTATTTAAATTTACTTATGAGCAAACTGCGTAGTGGTGGGGAAATTTTGACAAGGGCAACAACGTCATCACGATGAAGTAGTAGTATTCTTACAGTTTGGGCGATAGTGATTACGATTACAAATTATATGAAACAGTTACAGCCCCCCTCCCCCATGGACCCCTCTGTAAAAAAATATTGTCATAATACCACTGCTACTTGTTTAAATCTATTTCTGTAATATATATTTGTGTAATATATATTTGTGTAATATATATGTATGTTTAGAACAGTCATCTAAAAACTGACGCTATGTTCGCTCTGAGTTGGTTATCTCTCCCCCCACCCCACACCTCACCACCACAATTGTGTAGAGCGACATTAACGTCACACCTAGGTATACACTAGGTTGGATAATTGACCTAAAGTAACCGGACAGTAAAAAGGTGTGTGAGCAATACAGAGATCTAACCCATACCTATCACTATGTTAAAAATGATCTTTTATGAACACAAAAAAAAAACATATGATCTGAACTAAATGACCAATATTTAGTTAAATGTAGGCTGTTATACAGGATGCTTATATCGAAAAGCTTGGTTTTATACCAACTCTGATTTTAAAAACTTTAATTATGCTATAATACTTTAGCATTTATGATGACGATATATTAAATTCTGATTATAGACAAAAAAAACATTTTGTAAACACGAATAGTGTTTAACAATTTCATTATATTCTAAAGTAATTATTTATTTGTTTTGACATTTATAATTAAATGTGTAGATATGTACATATTTATATTAAGAGAGTGATTATTTCCCCTATTTCACTTGTCTTAAATAATTTCCCAGGAATTATTATATAAGAAATTTTTTTTACAAGAATTACAAAACAGATTGTGTTACATTCGTTGTTTTTGGTTGTAGTGTGTGTATATTTTTTTTTTGGTCTAGATTGATACAATTTTTGTTTTGTTGGCCTACATTGTGTGTTTTTTTCCTATTTCTTCAGAGTGCTACTTTCAATTTATTTTACATCATAGCGAAGTAATGACATACAGCTAGTAATGACATACTAGTAATTATATATATATATATATATATATATATATATATATATATATATATATATATATATATATATATATATATATATATATATATAATACACGTATATAGAACGTGTTAAAAGTTCGGCGCCTTTTTTGCTTTTTCGCTCCCCCTACAACGAAAACCTGGATACGCCTCTGCCACAGATACATTAAATATCATGACACAGATACATTAAATATCATGACACAGATACATTAAATATCATGATACAGATACATTAAATATCATGATACAGATACATTAAATATCATGACACAGATACATTAAATATCATGACACAGATACATTAAATATCATGATACAGATACATTTAATATCATGATACAGATACATTAAATATCATGATACAGATATATTAAATAAACTAATAAATTGATGTGTTTAAATAAGCTATTGCAGACCAACATCATACTGAGAGAGAGACACCGTTCCCCAAAAAAACGTAAGCCAACACTAGATTTTTGTTTTTACTTACTTTTTCCAATTTTTCTGGTGATTCTTTTAGACAAAATAGGACTACTCCTGTTTTGGGAGTCTATATATGTACTTTCACAGTGTCCGTCCATTCTCGCCCCCCCCCCCCAACCTCTCCCCACGAAAGTTTCAAGAGCTGCCCCACCCTCCTGGAGAAATGTGTCTGAAAGAAGCAATACATTTTGTATTTTAGCTTGCTTTGAATAGATCCTAAAACTGTGTAACCACGTGACTGTTAAGATAATACAGGCGAGGTGTATATTTACATTCTCGTATACAGAGTACCTATAGAGGATAGAGGAAGTATTGTAATCATGCACAAAAATCACATGAAATTTTGACTGTTTTCACCGTTTTATTTCTCAGCACTTCATCATATACGAAGGGGGCTTATTTTAATCGGGCAAAAAATCTAAATCCAGATTTACCAAAATTTCGGCGTTATAGGCGTAATCGAGTCTGAAAAACTGGGCTTTGCTATTCTGCCCGTGTGTGTGTGTGTGTGTGTGTGTATATGTTGACCCACTTCTAATGCAGCGATTTCGTTTAAACTTTCCTGATACGTTCAACTTCGATGACAATAAAAGGCTATCTATTTTTTATTTAATTAGATGTTTAATTAGTCATTAAAAATTAATAGAGATCTCAATCAACGGGTCGGGTTTTAACGCAAATATTTTTGGTAGTTCATTTAGAACGAATTACTAAAAAGTGGAAAATAAAACGAATATAAAAACCTTTATAATAACAAGCTTTTAAATGCACTGGAAATAATAAACTAAAGGAACACATTTATTTCAATAAAGCCTTTGGTCGCGCATGAGAATTTTACAATGTTTTTAGCGACCAAAGCTTTTATGAGATTTATGTTTTTTTTTTTTTTCTCTTTTTCAGTACATTTAAAAGGTTGTTTCTTTTAGAGAAACTATTAAATGCAATGTATTGTTAACTCATTTAATTTTTATAGTGATACTTTAAGAAAAAGTTTTTCCCATATAGTGTTATTAGCTTCAGTGGCGTCGCTAGGTAGGGTGTCACACGATGCGACACCTCATGGTGTCACCCCCCCCCCCCACCACCACCAAAGGATAAAAGTATAGGATATATATATATATATATATATATATATATATATATATATATATATATATATATATATATATATATATATATATTCCTACATATGACTATAAATAGTTGTAATTGGTGTTACGTCCCCACCCCCCTACCATTTTTACCACATGGCGAGATTTTTCGCACTCATTATTTTAATCCAACTTTAAAAAAGCAACGTTTTAATAGTAAATTATTAGATGTGGTGTCACATAATTGTGACAATTAACTGTGATTAATCATTCATTGAACTGGCAAAAAGCAAGTTTCTTCTATATTTGCAATTGTTTGTCTTGGTGTCACCCCCCCCCCCCCCCCTACACGATGTCACCCGTTTGACCAGCACTAAACACTGTCAGCCTTTTTCCTGCTGTATGGTTGCTAAATAATATCTGGTAACTTGACATGCTAGATGAATGGTGCCAAACCGAAAATTCTCGAGTTAGAACTCTCGGGCAGATGAGGCTCGTTAGCTGGGGACAGCCATTCTTCTATGAGAGACAACTCTAAAATCAAACAACTGCTGCCTTGTAGTTTGTTCTTGGTTGGACAAAAGCTATGGAAGCAAATCCAAAAGGAAAGCAGGCTGAAATCGGAGCCAATGGCGCATAACCAGTTGACTTGTATACTTAATTGTGTTGGAGGGGATCCCTTCCGACACTAAATTAAGAACCAAGTAGAAGAAGCTGAATGGTGGTTTTAAAAATGGTGGTAAATTTTAATTTTAATCTTTCTTTTAGCGAGATAACTGATGACATTACCGATGAGACCGAATTGTCCAACGCCATAGGTCAACTTAAGCACCTGTACGGCACTCAACCGACTTTTGAAACATCGTGTGAAGGACCGCCCCACAACAGACTCTACATTTGCCGTGTCACACTCCACGGCAGGACGACAGAAGGTATGTGACGTCATGAGCAGGTTTCAAATAGGGAAAGATGCAGACGTTATGAGAGTAGTTTCTATAAATATAAAATGTATTCTTCAGGAACAGCCAGGACCAGTAAATTGGCCAGCAGAATAGCAGCGGCAAAAATGTTGAAAGTAATGTCACCAGCTAAGGTAGGACTTATTGTCTGAAGTCTCTCGACTATATAGCGTGAATTTTTAAACACATTATTTTAAATTAGGTGTCATCCCGCCCCGGTAGTTGATTCTTCTTTCTACTTCTTCATTCTTAATTTTAGTGTTGGAGATGATTCCCTCCAACACCATTAAGTATACATGTCAACTGGTTATGCGCCATTTAGGCCTTTGACTTCGATTTCTTTTTGGGATTGCTTCCATAGCCTTTGTCCCACCAAGAACAAACTACAAGGCAGCAATGATAAGATTCCCCGACTCGACCACATTGACCCCCTGGTCCTTGATTGACTTATCAGTTTTTGAAAATATTCAACTACACATTCATTTATCTCTGTAAATTTCTGCCGTTGGTGTCACCCCCTACATATAGAAAAAATATACTTCTGAAAGAAACACTTCTTGTCGAGATCGTCAATTTGAACTCTGTGTAATAATATTTAATGTTTCTGTGTAATGATATTTAATGTATCTGTGCCATTCACTGAGCTGGCAATATTTGATCTATATAGTTTTCAATCCATGTTTTTGTATTAGTGTCACTCCCACAGTGTTTCTTCCAGGCATCTCCCCCCCCCCCCCCCCCACCCGGAGTAAGTCTAACCGGACCCCCTATACGAAATGGGAATTTATATAGAGAATATAGAAAATACATACTTTTACCAGTGTCCGCCCCCCCCCCTTCGGAAAATAAGTTCGCCTCCCCCCCCCCCAAAAAAATTTAAAGTTCCACCCCCCCCCCCCCCCAATCGAAGAAAAAAGTCTGGAAGAAACACTGTCCCTTCCCCTTTCCCACCTCACCCCACCCCGCTCTTGATCTAAGCCAAGAAAGATTTATAAGAGAGGGGTAGGGTTAGAGACTAGAGAGATAGGGAGAGAGGAAGAGAGAGAGGGAGAGAGACTAGAGAGAGAGGGAGAGAGGGAGAGATAGTGAGATAGGAAGAGTTGTTCTATTCCTTGTATTGTTTCAGGTCCCTGTCCACACGGGCAGTAAAAGTGGAGCCTACAAGATCAGCTGTGAGCGGACTATAGTGCATGAAAAGTTTACAGTCACTGTGGACACTAGAGAAGAACAAATGGGTAGGGCAACCTTTAGAGCAACCTACGGTAGCTCTCGTGTTGATTATACCCAGCACAACGGGCGAATAAATGTATATATATATATATATATATATATATATATATATATATATATATATATATATATATATATATATATATATATATATATATATATATATGAGATGGACGATATGAGACTTTGGTAGCTACGCCTCTGATAGATGTTACTTACAGAAAGACTTAGACTTAAGAGATAACTTACAGACAGCGTTAGATTTAGTGATATACTTATGGATAACCTTGAGACTTAGAGCCTGACTTATTTAGATTTAGATACTTAGATTTCTATTTACATTAGAAATATAAATGCCCGACACAGATGTTATTAATTTTGAAAATTAATTTCTTCCTTAGAATGCGAATGAGGAGACAGAACAACAAGTACATCTGAATAAAAAAAATGACAAATTAAATTTGTTTTTTCTTGTCAATGTCCCCGAGGTGTGTTGCACGTTCTGTCTCTCCCTCCCACACCCCACATCTTAACCTCCCACACCCCACACCCTACCCTCCCACACCCCACACCTTACCCTCCCACACCCCACACCTTACCCTCCCACACCCCACACCCCACACTTTACCCTCCCACACCCCACACCTTACCCTCCCACACCCCACACCCCACACCATACCCTCCCACACCCCACACCTTACCCTCCCACACCCCACACCTTACCCTCCCACACCCCACACCCCACACCTTACCCTCCCACACCCCACACCCCACACCTTACCCTCCCACACCCCACACCTTACCCTCCCACACCCCACACCATACCCTCCCACACCCCACACCTTACCCTCCCACACCCCACACCTTACCCTCCCACACCCCACACCCCACACCTTACCCTCCCACACCCCACACCTTACCCTCCCACACCCCACACCTTACCCTCCCACACCCCACACCCCACACCTTACCCTCCCACACCCCACACCTTACCCTCCCACACCCCACACCCCACACCATACCCTCCCACACCCCACACCTTACCCTCCCACACCCCACACCTTACCCTCCCACACCCCACACCCCACACCTTACCCTCCCACACCCCACACCCCACACCTTACCCTCCCACACCCCACACCTTACCCTCCCACACCTTACCGTCCCACACCCCACACCTTACCCTCCCACACCCAACACCCCACACCATACCCTCCCACACCCCACACCTTACCCTGCCACACCCCACACCCCACACCTTACCCTCCCACACCTTACCCTCCCACACCCCACACCTTACCCTCCAACACCTTACCCTCCCACACCCCACACCCCACACCTTACCCTCCCACACCCCACACCCCACACCTTACCCTCCCACACCCCACACCCCACACCTTACCCTCCCACACCTTATCCTCCCACACCTTACCCTCCCACACCCCACACCTTACCCTCCCACACCCCACACCGTACCCTCCCACACCCCACACCCCACACCTTACCCTCCCACACCTTATCCTCCCACACCTTACCCTCCCACACCCCACACCTTACCCTCCCACACCCCACACCTTATTCTCCCACACCTTACCCTGCCACACCCCACACCCCACACCTTACCCTCCCACACCCCACACCTTATTCTCCCACACCTTACCCTGCCACACCCCACACCTTACCCTCCCACACCCCACACCTTACCCTCCAACACCTTACCCTCCCACACCCCACACCCCACACCTTACCCTCCCACACCCCACACCCCACACCTTACCCTCCCACACCCCACACCTTACCCTCCCACACCCCACACCCCACACCTTACCCTCCCACACCCCACACCCCACACCTTACCCTCCCACACCCCACACCCCACACCTTACCCTCCCACACCCCACACCTTACCCTCCCACACCCCACACCCCACACCTTACCCTCCCACACCCCACACCTTACCCTCCCACACCCCACACCGTACCCTCCCACACCCCACACCCCACACCTTACCCTCCCACACCCCACACCGTACCCTCCCACACCCCACACCCCACACCTTACCCTCCCACACCTTATCCTCCCACACCGTACCCTCCCACACCCCACACCGTACCCTCCCACACCCCACACCTACCCTCCCACACCCCGCACCGTACCCTCCCACACCCCACACCGTACCCTCCCACACCCCACACCGTACCCTCCCACACCCCACACCGTACCCTCCCACACCCCACACCTACCCTCCCACACCCCGCACCGTACCCTCCCACACCCCACACCGTACCCTCCCACACCCCACACCGTACCCTCCCACACCCCACACCTACCCTCCCACACCCCACACCGTACCCTCCCACACCCCACACCGTACCCTCCCACACCCCACACCGTACCCTCCCACACCCCACACCGTACCCTCCCACACCCCACACCGTACCCTCCCACACCCCACACCTTACCCTCCCACACCCCGCACCGTACCCTCAAATACCTCACAGAAATTACCCCGCCCTCATTCACACCTCGTCATCTCTGACAATAAACCAAAACACGTTCTTTGAAACACAGTCCTACCACATCAGATTTAGTTTAACATTAACACAGTTGACCTTAGCTGACCACAGGCTTTGTCCAAGTGAGTTGTTGTATGTAAGAACACGATGACACATTGTAACAACTTTGGGCCACTTTAACCTATCGTAGCTTAAATGACCAGGATTTGACCCCAGTTTACCACAGTTTTGACCCCGGTGAGTTGTTTTAATACATGACATGAAACCAACAACAACAATCACGGACCACGGTGACCTGTCTCGACTTAAATGAATATGATTTGACCCAAGTTCACCACAGTCTTGACCCAGATGAGTAGTTTTGAGTACATGACATGAACCAACAACAACAATTTCGGAACAAGGTGACCTGCCTTGCATTACATGACCTTAAGCAGATGAAGGCATAATTGAAACGGGATATAATGAAAACAACTATGGATAGCAGTGTTAAGATACATATTACTCGTATAGAGGCCTACTATTATATACATTACTGTCTGGGTTTTGTCATATTTAAACACAAGTTCAGACTATTAATTGGACAAAGATGCAGATTGTTAGTGTTAATTAAATATGAGTACACGCCGTTTATTAAATACGAAAACATAAAAATAGACCATTAAAGGGACAAAAAATATCAATAATAAGACGTGAACAGAATGCAATTAGTACTATTTGTTATTACATAACTGCTAATTAGATACAAGCACAGATCGCTAATTAAACAATAACATAGACGTCTAATTAGAAATAAGCACAAACAAATATTTTACTGAGAAACAAGTGCAGATTAATAATTAGGTAGATAGTCATTACTAGTAACCGTTTAGTGGACACAATGAAACCCCGCTAAATAGATACAGGAATTAAACACAACCGTTCATAAAATCAAACGCTTGTAAATAGGTTTATGATTATCACACAATGTTCTAGTTCAAAGGTCGACTGTGTGACATCTACCCCTCCACCCGCTCACTCAATCCTCTAGCACCTTTTTACACCCACCTCCCCCATTCACATTATTCGCCCTCATACATCCACTACTCCCCAATCCAAAACCTCGTCCTACCGAACGCCTTACCTTCCGACACAAAAACACCTCACGTAACTCACCGCACCCCCACACATTCACACACCTCACGTAACTCACCGCACTCTCACACATTCACACACCTCACGTAACTCACCGCACCCTCACACATTCACACACCTCACGTAACTTACCGCACCCCACACATTCACACACCTCACGTAACTCACCGCACCCCCACACATTCACACACCTCACGTAACTCACCGCACCCCACACATTCACACACCTCACGTAACTCACCGCACCCTCACACATTCACACAACTCACGTAACTCACCGCACCCCCACACATTCACACACCTCACGTAACTCACCCCACACAACTCACCCTCACACACCCCTCATCATGTCTGACAATAAATCAAACTGCTACTTTAAAAAAACATCCCTACCCAGTCAGATTTGGATTCATGTCAACAAAGTTGACCCTAGCTGACCACAGACCAAGTGAGTTGTATTGTGTGAGGACACGATGACAACCTTGGACCACGGTGACCTGCCTTGACTTCAATGACCCAAGATTTGATGTGACCCATGTTCTCCACTCTATTGACCCCAAAAATTGTTTTCATCGATGACATGTAACCAACAACAACCATCTTTAATCACGTGACCTAGCTTGTATTACTTGACTTTTTCTAAGTGGAGTGTTATAGATCTATAAATAGTATATACATTTGAAAACGAAATAAACATACCTATTAGTCATGTGTACACCACTGATTTTATTCAGATTTCATTCGTGTTTATTTTTATACATTGATAAAAAATATATAATGTTTATTTAGTTGTTTTTTTAAATAGTTTTTAGTAGTTTTCAAAATGAGGTACATCAACTTTGTTGAATGTTTAGATATTATACAAAAGCAGTTCAGTAAGTTCATTGCACGAAGTTTGATTTATATCCGTCAATAGAAGCCCTTATATTTAAAATAGTCACAAAAACCTTATAAAGAAAGATGAAACTAACGTTGAGATACGGCTTTTCCATTAGTTTAGTTTAGTAAGCTTCATACATAATCTGTTTAGGTGGGATTTTTTTAAATAGTAAAGTGAATTACTATAATGATTATTCGAGTATAAAGTATAAGTATAAATACTAGATATAATAACGTAAAACTGAGGCCTGCCGACCAAAAGCTGCATACGCTGAAGTATAAATAAGGGTGTTGGCTAAGCTAACTCTGTCTAGCACTAATGAATAGCCAATTTGTCAGAAGCCTAAACCTAAATAACAGGATCCTATTGGTCGCCTTCCTAAATGACGGGGCCGTTTTGATATATATATATATATATATATATATATATATATATATATATATATATATATATATATATATATATATGTATATATATATATATATATATATATATATATATATATATATATATATATATATATATATATATATATATATATATATATGTATATATATATATATATATGTATATATATATATATATATATATATGGTGTGCTCCAACATAAGAGATGTATGGATAGGAGCCGTCAAGAGAGCTGTATGTTGCTTTGATATACGAGCAAAATTTGAGATACGCGGAACAAAAGGAGCGCGTTTCACAATATGTGAAAAAACCCGCAAAAGTTGTAAATGGTCGTGCATAGTAGCTATTTAATGACTCGCATCATTTCCGAAACATGCTGAACGGAAGGAAGAAGCATGTGTCCTTTGATTGTTGAAGGTGAAGAAAGAGTCGATCGTGATAAAGACCAGTGACGAAAAGGTCAGCTAAATTTAAAATGTTGTACAGAATTACTTAAACTTAATTTGTTCAGTCAAGTTTAACTAGAGTTCCATTCAGTTTATTAGAGATTGTAACAAGGGAGAGATTTAAAGTAAATTAACAGTGAGTGAGCTAACGAAGTGACGTTCCCTCGACGGTAATCTCAGAGTTCAGTATAGCATCGGAAATTATCCGGTAATGTGTGTTGAGTTTCGTAAACATTCGTTACTGTAAACCAAGGTTTATTTGACCTTTAAAATATAAATAAAAACAAGTGCATTAAATTAATGTTTTAACTTAATTTTAAGTTCAATTGACAGAAAATGTGCAACAATTACCTCTAGTAGATCTAATCTAGACCTTGAATTAAATATTATTAGTAATAAAGTCGAGTGCAGTAATTAATATTTTTTTAAGAAATAAAAAACACTTGAAGAAGATTTGCGACAACTAGATTCCTAGATCTAGAGCTAGGCCTAGTAAAACAAGACGATTAGATCTACTAATGTAGTAAGAAGGACAAGATAATGTGTCGTAGCAGCAATAATAAGCACATACACATAAAATAATTAGAAATACAAAACGATTAGCAAAACAGTATTTAAAATGCAACTAAAATAAACCTATGCTCATTTTTAAAACATGATGTATTAAAAATAATATGGCGCCAAATAAAAGATAGGCCTAGCTGACAGTACTTCCAGAGGCGTAGCGACCCTTCCCAGCGCCCGGGGACAAACTTTTCGATTTGCACCCCCCCCCCCCCTCGAGATTTCGATTTGCACCCCCCCCCCCCTCAAACTTTCGATTTGCACCCCCTCAACCTTTCAATTTATTTTTCCAACCCATTTTGGCGCCCCCTAAGGTCGGCGCCCGGGGACATATGCCCCCCCCCCCCGCTCCCCCCCCCCCTCGCTACGCTACTGAGTACTCCCAGTGGTTTCCGGAACGGCGGAATAGAATACGCCATGGTTTTTATGTTGTTTTTTTTACATGCTCTACCACTCCGGAATAATAACCGAAGCTATATCGTTAAAATACCCCCCCCCCTCCATTCACACCTATTCACACGCACACACGTAAACACAAATATTCTTACTCTAACCCGTACATGCACACACACACATACGTATACAGACATACGCACACACACACATACTTACACGTACATGTACACAAGTATTTGGTGCAAACACACTTACGTACATGCACGCGCCAGTGCGTACGTCGCATACATAAACACGTACACGACCTCATATAATAATAAGTAAACGTACACGTGTATGATTATGTACACATACACATTTTCGCTTAATATGCTGGTGAAATCTGCAGTTCATATGTTGATTTTATCTTAACAGCCAGGACCTGTTTAATTTTAGAGACTATCGGCTAGTGACTTTTTGAATGTTGGGTGACTGTATCACTAATATGTATAGATTTACTATGTACTTGTATAAATTTGAATAAATCAATTGCTATGAAAACTGTCCGAATTGCTACAACTACATACTGTAATAGTTTAATAGATTTAAAAAATCAATTGATGGCTACATAACACTGCTTAATATGCCATTTTACGAAAAACTTTTTAATTTGAGTGACTAATTCCTCCTGCTTGTCTATGTATGTGTCAGTGAACACGATAACTTGAATACCGTTTCAGTTATTTTTACAAAATTTTGTATGTAACTATTATATTAGATGTGTAATTGTTTTTTACTTTCTCGTATATACGAAGTATAGAGAAAGTCTTGCAATCGTGCAAAAAAAAAATCGAGATTTTTGCAAATCTCGACGTTTTACACCTCGCTGATACGGAAAAAACATAATTTTGCAATCTTGTCCGTATGTCTGTGTGTCTGTCTGTCTGTCTGTCTGTCTGTCTGTCTGTCTGTCTGTCTGTCTGTCTGTCTGTCTGTCTGTCTGTCTGTCTGTCTGTCTGTCTGTCTGTCTGTCTGTCTGTGTGTCTGTGTGTAAACACGATAACTTGAGTACCGTTACAGCTAGGTTGATGAAATTTCATATATAAGTATTTTATCAAAATCGTAGATCCGTATCAACCGGAAGTGGTACTTTTCCTACTTTGAATTTTTCAAAAGCCTATAACTTGAGTACTATTTCAGATAGATAAATGAAATTTCACATGTAAGTAAAAGATCTAATTCTCTACCTACTGTCAAATTTTGATTAATTTCCGTTGATTGAAAGTACTAATTTACGCTATTTCCGATTTCTCAAAAAAAAAAAAACGAATGTAAATTAATACTAATAATATTCCGCACTATTATGCTCGATTTAATTGGCGTTCACAGGTGTGCAATTCTTTTTCCTACGAGATTTTATTCTATTTTAAAAAGTTTAAAATTCATGTCTATATCCCGAGTTCCCATCCCCTGTTTTTTTATAAAAGAATATTCGAGAAAGTTTAGGGGAGATCGCTCCCGGTTTATTATTTTAAACCAAAGCGCTAGTGGGCCTAGAATCGCACTATTCCTGGGGGACCTTTTAGGAACTCTAACGTGGACAGTTGTTATGATTTTTGTTAACAGGGAAATAATCACACATTTTTAAGAATCCCTAATTACATACCTTTTTTTAAAAAAATCTAATTTTTATCTTTCTTTTTAGAACAGACCGCGCCCATAGAAAGCACCATCTTACTTACAGTAATGTACAGGGAACTGCCAGCATTAACAAATGGCGAGGTCGCAACACCCTCAGTGCCAGCATGGGATGTTGACATAATCCATCCCCCAACACCCGCAGTGCCAACATGGGATGTTGACATAATCCATCCCCCAACACCCGCAGTGCCAGCTTGGGATGTTGACATAATCCATCCCCCAACACCCGCAGTGCCAACATGGGATGTTGACATAATCCATCCCCCAACACCCGCAGTGCCAGCGTGGGATGTTGACATAATCCATCCCCCAACACCCGCAGTGCCAGCGTGGGATGTTGACATAATCCATCCCCCAACACCCGCAGTGCCAACATGGGATGTTGACATAATCCATCCCCCAACACCCGCAGTGCCAACATGGGATGTTGACATAATCCATCCCCCAACATCTGCCACACCACCACTGAACGGTACATTCTTGTCCAATGACTACTTCAGGGAAGAAATGAACTCGGCATTTAATGGTTTCAACTCTCCTCATTTTCTTCCACTGAACGCTGCAACAGCAACTACAGTAGCAAAACAAATCTACAGGGAAATAAACTCGGTATTTAACTCACCTGATTTTCTTCAACCGAACTTAGGCATGTTTCAATCACCAGGGTATGCAGTACCAACCCCAAAAATAGCATCGGTATCGTCTTGTGGCGCTCGTATAAATGAAGAATCAGATTCGGCACATGGGTATTCTAACTCACCGGCTTTTTGTAGACCGAATTATGGTAAGTTCCACTCATAAAATATGAATGACCGTTGATATTCTCAATGGATGCGTTTTTTTTCTGCGATGCACCATGTACCTTGTACTTGGTAATGCCTGATGCCCTCTGCCCCATATATCTTATGTTCCCATTCGATTGTATGCTCAGTTATGATACATATTTTGGTCCACTGTCGATTTCTTTATACCCTCACCCAACCTATTCAATCTGTTACTGTCCTTGTATGGTGCCACAGAACATTTTATAGTCTAACCTGTCTCTCTGTGTTATGAATTGGCCTTTACCATTTTTTTTTTAAATTTCGTTATTTAACTCGATCCACTTCTTTTATACCCCCCCCCCCACGCCCCCCCCCCCCCACTCGATTGGCGTTTATATCGCTGAGATACTCCCCAATCAATCTGTTGTGTACTAATTGTGTTGTGCTGCTATGTGATTGCACAGAGATCATATTCACATAACCCTCCGTTTTGATCAAAGTACTTTGATTTCCATTTGTTCAAAAGCTCGCTAAGACCTGTCCCCTATATAATTGCTTCCTGTACGTTTGTGATATTTATAATCATCCCTCTCCCTTACATTAGGATAATTATAATCACCCCTCTCTCTCTCTTACATTAGGATAATTATAATTGCTTCTCTCCCTTATATTATGATAATTATAACCCTCTCCCTTACATTAGGATAATTAGAATCACTCATATCCCTTACATTAGGATAATTATAATTGCTCCTCTCCCCAACAGTAGGATAATTATAATCACCCCTCTGGCTTACATTAGGATAATTATAATTGCTCCTCTCCCCAACAGTAGGATAATTATAATCACCCCTCTGGCTTACATTAGGATAATTATAATTGCTCCTCTCCCTTACATTAGGATAATTATAATCACCCCTCTCTCCTACATTAGGATAATTATAATTGCTCCTCCCCCTTACATTAGGATAATTATAATTACCCCTCTCCCTTACATTAGGATAATTATAATTACTCCTCTCCCTTACGTTAGGATAATTATAATCACCCATCCCTCCGTCATGAGGATAATTATAATTGCTCTTCTCCCCAACAGTAGGATAATTATAATCAACCCTCTGGCTTACATTAGGATAATTATAATTGCTCCTCTCCCTTACATTAGGATAATTATAATCACCTCTCTCCCTTGCATTAGGATAATTATAATCACCCATCCCTCCGTCATTAGGATAATTATAATTGCTCCTCTTCGTTACATTAGGATAATTATAATTACTCCTCTCCCTTACATTAGGATAATTATGATTGCTCCTCTCCCCAACAAATGAAATTTAAAACCACTTCTCTCACCTCTCTCTTCCCACACAACAAGACAAAAGCCATTTTGTTAAAGCTGGAAACAACAAACTGTTACATAACATTACACCATACCACCGCCGTACTTCACATAACACAATAACATATGTCTATCTTAGACTGTAATTTATAATTTGTTACAGTTACTGATATATTAAATATACTAATATATTGATTTGTTTAAATAAACGTTTGCAGAACAGCATTATACTGAGAGAATGCCACCGTTTCCCAGCAATCAAACGACGTAAGCCATCAGTAGTTATTTGAGTGGTAACTCATTTCATTTGTTTAGTGACTATTTAAGACCAAGTTTTCCCGTTTGGTGTTAATAGCTTGCTTTGTATAGACCTTCAAATGATTCAGATAATTCAGTCACTGGTGTATTTTTCTTCTTTCGTTTCTTTTAGGGAAAATGGTAAATTAAACGTTTTTTAGCAATTGTTTTATAAATAGAAGTTTAATCATCATTAAGCACTGTCAGCCATTTCCCAGGTGTATGGTTGATAAATAATATCTGGTAACTTGACATGCTTGATGAATTGTGGTTTATATAAATAGTAGTAAATAATCTTTTTATTTTGTATTTTAGCGAGATAACTGATGAGACCGAATTGTCCAACGCCATAGGTCAACTAAAGCACCTGTACGGCACTCAACCGACTTTTGAAACATCGTGTGAAGGACCGCCCCACAACAGACTCTACATTTGCCGTGTCACACTACACGGCAGGACGACAGAAGGTACGTGACGTCACGAGCAGGTTGCAAATAGGGAAAGATACAGACGTTATGAGAGTAGTTTCTATAAATAAAAAATGTGTTCTTCAGGAACAGCCAGGACCAGTAAATTGGCCAGCAGAATAGCAGCGGCAAAAATGTTGAAAGTAATGTCACCAGCTAAGGTAGGACTTATTGTCTGATGTCTCTCATCTACGATATCTTACTCTTCTTTCTCTGTAATATTTTAAAGGATTCCTTCCAACACAATTCAGTATTACTGAGTCAAAATGTTATGCGCCCAGTGTTTCTTCCAGGCATCTCTACACGGGGGTGGGGGTGGGGGAGGAGAAGGTACGGGACTCTACCGCCCCCTCCCCCCCCCCGAACGAAATGGAATTTATATAGAAAATATATACTTTTAACAGTGTCCGCCCCCCCCCCCTTCCCGAAAATTTCAAGTGCCCCTCTCGGAGAAAAAAGTTTGGAAGAAAACCAGTATGCGCCAAATTCAGCTTATTTTTCTTTCTAGATTTGCTTTCATAGCCTGTTTTTGTCCACCCTAGAACGATCATGCAAGACAGCAGTTGTTTGATTCTGGAGTTTTCTCTCCTAGATGTGTTGCTGCTGTTCCAGCTCACAAGCCACATCTGCCCGGGGGTCCGAACTGGACTTTTGGAGTCAGCAATGACAGCCTCTCTCGAAAAATTTATTGATTTAAATATTAGATAAGCCCCCCCCCCCTCCAAACCCCGCTCTTGATCTTACTCATGAATAATTTATGAGATAGAGGTAGGGCTAGAGACTAGAGATAGAAAGAGAGGTAGAGAGAGGGAGAGATGGGGAGAGAGAGGGAGAGAGGCTAGAGAGAGATGGAGAGATAGTGAGATAGGGAGAGTTGTTCTATTCCTTGTATTGTTTCAGGTCCCTGACCATACGGGCAGTAAAAGTGGAGCCTACAAGATCAGCTGTGAGCGGACTATAGTGCATGAAAAGTTTACAGTCACTGTGGACACAAGAGAAGAACAAATGGGTAAGGCAACCTTTAGAGCAACCTTTAGGGCAACATTTAGGGCCATCTTTAGCTCGTAATGTTTAAAGTTCTTATTGTTATAAGTTAACTACCTAACGTGAACGGATATACTCAGAGACTTAGAAGCATATTTACTTAGATTTAGAGAAAGACTAAGACTTAGAGATAACTTAGCGACAGATTTAGATTTAGAGATATACTTTGGAGGTAACATTGACACTTAGAGACAGGTTTAGATTTAGAGATAGACTTAGAGGTAATATTGAGACTTAGAGACAGGTTTAGATTTAGAGATAGACTTAGAGGTAATATTGAGACTTAGAGATAGACTGAGAGAGACCAAAGGACTGACTTAAAGACGGACTTGAACTTGGAGACTAGACTTACAGATAACCTTGAGACTTAGAGTCAGACTAACTTAGATTAAGAGACAGACGAAAATGGACTTAGAGATACATTCAAATGTAAAATATAACTGCCTTACTAAAACGTTCTTAATTGTGATAATTGATTTATTCCTTAGAATGTGAATAAGGGAGACAGATCACAAAAGTTCACCTGAATTAAAAATATAACTATATACATTATATATGGTTCACGTTCTATTATTTAATAAATGTTGCTGATCAAAACCACATTGGTGGTTGTGACCACACCCACAGTAGCGGTGTTTATCACACCCACAGTGGAGGTGCTGACCACACCCACAGTGGCGGTTCTGACCACACCCACAGTGGCGGTTCTGACCACACCCACAGCATAGGTACTGACCACACCCACAGCATAGGTGTTGATCACACCCACAGTATAGGTGTTGACCACACACACATTATAGGTGCTGCTCACACCCACAGTGGAGGTGCTGACCACTTCTACAGTATAGGTGTTGATCACACCCACAGCATAGGTGCTGACCACACCCACAGTATAGGTGCTGACCACACCCACAGTGGAGGTGCTGATCACACCCACAGTGGAGGTGCTGACCACACCCACAGTATAGGTGCTGACCACACCCACAGTGGAGGTGCTGATCACACCCACAGTGGAGGTGCTGACCACACCCACAGTGGAGGTGCTGACCACACCCAGAGTGGAGGTGCTGACCACACCCACAGTGGAGGTGTTGACCACACCCGCAGTATAGGTGCTGACCAAACCCACAGTGGAGGTGCTGACCACACCCACAGTATAGGTGTTGACCACACCCACAGTATAGGTGCTGACCACACCCACAGTGGAGGTGCTGACCACACCCACAGTATAGGTGTTGACCACACCCACAGTATAGGTGCTGACCACACCCACAGTGGAGGTGCTGACCAAACCCACAGTGGAGGTGCTGACCACACCCACAGTATAGGTGTTGACCACACCCACAGAATAGGTGTTGATCACACCCACAGTATAGGTGTTGACCACACCCACAGAATAGGTGTTGATCACACCCACAGTATAGGTGCTGACCACACCCACAGTGGAGGTGTTGACCACACCCACAGAATAGGTGTTGATCACACCCACAGTATAGGTGCTGACCACACCCACAGTGGCGGTGCTGACCGCACCCACAGTGGAGGTGTTGACCACACCCACAGAATAGGTGTTGATCACACCCACAGTATAGGTGCTGACCACACCCACAGTGGCGGTGCTGACCGCACCCACAGTGGAGGTGTTGATAACACCCTCTGGCACGCACCCACCCCTCCCACACCTTACCCTCAAATACCTCACAGAAATTACCCCGCCCTCATTCACACCTCGTCATCTCTGACAATAAACCAAAACAAGTTCTTTGAAAAACAGTCCTACCTTGTCAGATTTGGTTTAATATTAACACAGTTGACTTTAGCTGACCACAGGCTTTGTCCAAGTGAGTTGTTGTATGTAAGAACACTATGACACATTGTAACAACCTTGGGCCACTTTAACCTATCGAAGCTTAAATGACCAGGATTTGACCACAGTTTACCACAGTTTTGACCCCGCTGAGTTGTTTTAATACATGATATGCAACCAACAACAACAATCTCGGACCACGGTGACCTATCTTGGCTTAAATGAATAGGATTTGACCCAAGTTAACCACAGTCTTGACCCAAATGAGTAGTTTTCAAAACAAACAACAACAATCTCGGACCACGGTGACCCGCCTTGCGTTGCTTGACCAAAAGTAAATGAAGGCATGTTAGAAATGTTAGCCCACCCAAATCAAAACCATGTAAAACATGAAACTATTAACGGTACACATATCACTGTCTTGTCCCATCATGCACCAGTCTAAGATGTTACTGTAGCGGGCAGTGAACAACATCCACGAGGTAGGGACATACTTGGACCACACCTCTATCCGAGGTTGTCGCATCCGTACTCGTAGAGAAAGCGAGAAACTGGGCTTGTTTCCATTGAAAGCATGGAATCAATGAAGACGGTGGGTGTGGCGCGAGCGATGAACATTAGCGAAAGATGACATCCAGTGGCGTAGCCAGAAATTGGTCATGGGAGGGGTTCAAACATTTTTTCCATATGTATAAAACCATATATATATATATATATATATATATATATATATATATATATATATATATATATATATATATATATATATATATATATATATATATATATATATATAGGGTCATGAGTCCATGGGAGGGGTTATACCCCCTAACCCCCCCCTTGCCTACGCCACTGATGACATCAGTCTCCCCTACAGTGAAGTCACCCGATATTTCGGCGTTTTCTTGTCGGTCTAGATATGAACTGCCAAGCAGAGGCGTAGCGACCCTCCCCGGCGCCCGGGGACAAACTTTTCGATTTGCACCCCCACCCCCCTCGAGATTTTCATTTGCACCCCCCCCCCCTCAAACTTTCGATTTGCACCCCCCTCGAGATTTTGATTTGCACCCCCCCCCCCTCAAACTTTCAATTTGCACCCCCCTCAACCTTTCAATTTATTTTTCCAACCCATTTTGGCACCCCCTAAGCTCGGCGCCCGGGGACATATGTCCCCCTCGCCCCCCACCCTCGCTACGCTACTGCTGCCAAGAAAAACAAAACGCGACATCAATTCTTCTCGATAAAGTGCAATGTGCTGTTTAGATGTATGGTTGAACAGATGCACTGAGATATTAGCGAGCGATTGTACACATGTAATTTAGTTAACCATAAAGTTGTATTCCTTTGACAATAATATTTGTAAATTTTGACTTAATTTTATCATTTATATGTGCAATGTATTTTTTGCGAGATAAACGTCCGTAATTTGCAAAATGGTATAAATTATATTTATGCGACGGCGTGGCCTAGTGGTAGAGAGCTATACTTCTAGCTCGAAAGTCTCGAGTTCAAATTCAAGTCAGTAGAATGTCCCAGTCCACCCAGCTCTCACGTTAGGGAAAACAGAGCCGGCGGGTCATAGTGCTGACCAAACTGTCCCCCATATGTCGAGTTTCTATGAAACAGACGAACTCTACTTCATCTGCCCCTTGAATCTTGGCATGAACGGGAAAAGATGAGATAATGAGTGTTGAAATTTGTGTTTATATGGACCAACTAAAAGGAAACTTGTCACATAAAGTTGTATTGTTTGTACCATAATTTTTAACACTTAGATCTAGCAGGTTTTTTTTTTTAAATTATAATAAAACTATATATGTGTGTACATAACCCATGTGGTAAAACCACAGCTATGGACAAATCTCAGCGGTCAAGCACCTATGATCAAAGCTCTGCTGTGGTCAAACTGTATGGTCATAATACCTTGTTAACGACATTTGAAAACAAAATAAACGTAACTATTATAATGTATACATTATTGTCTGTTTATTCAGATTGTATGCATTTTCTTTTAATCCATTGATCTTAAAATAGCCAATACAAGATTTGAAGAGTTTGGTAGTTGTTTTCTAAATGAGGCATTTCAACTTTGTTGAATGTTTCAATTGTATATAACATCAGTTCGGTAAGTTCATTGAACAAAGGTTGATTTTTATGTCTCAGTAGACAAAACACTGTATAAAATAAGTTGGTATTTTTTTAATAGCTAATTGAATTTCTTGAAAGTACTTATTGAAACAATGATTTGGGTATAAATTCAGAGCCACCTGACAAAAGCTATTGTATGTTGTTGGCACATATAAGCTAACTGTTTCTTGTGGACTAGTATTTGTGATAGTTAACCGCATTTGTGGACTGTAAATACATGAGAGATAACTCAACTAGCATGGGAGGCAATAACTTCAATGAACTCAGTGGCAACATTACACAAGAAACATTTATTGGAAGACAGTAAAGTTAAAATTAAGCATCAGTTCAACATATTTTAACAAATGTCTTTAAAATTTGACATACAATGAAAGTAGCAGATAGACACTAGTACACAGGTAGGGCTGTCACAATCTTCTCCACATGATGAAAGTACCAGGTAGACACAGGTAGGGCTGTCACAATCTTCTCCACATGATGAAAGTACCAGGTAGACAGGAAAGGTGGTCACAATCTTCTCCACATGATGAAAGTAACAGGTAGACACAGGTAGGGCTGTCACAATCTTCTCCACATGATGAAAGTACCAGGTAGACACAGGTAGGGCTGTCACAATCTTCTCCACATGATGAAAGTACCAGGTAGACACAGGTAGGGCTGTCACAATCTTCTCCACATGATGAAAGTACCAGGTAGACAGGAAAGGTGGTCACAATCTTCTCCACATGATGAAAGTAACAGGTAGACACAGGTAGGGCTGTCACAATCTTCTCCACATGATGAAAGTACCAGGTAGACAGGAAAGGTGGTCACAATCTTCTCCACATGATGAAAGTACCAGGTAGACAGGAAAGGTGGTCACAATCTTCTCCACATGATGAAAGTAACAGGTAGACACAGGTAGGGCTGTCACAATCTTCTCCACATGATGAAAGTACCAGGTAGACAGAAAAGGTGGTCACAATCTTCTCCAACTTGATCCAATGCCTTCAAATAAAAGTAACATGAATAAATAAATTATGTGATCAATTTATAACAGTATCATTACAAAATCAAAATTTCATATTTATGAGCTTTTGAAGAGTATAAAGTCAATAAATAAATGTAAATATGTGTAGAGATTGATAAAAAGGATATTGTCTACTGTTACTGCTAATCAGAAATACAAGTTAAAATGTAGAATCTTAAGTATTTACCTGTATATATCAACAGAGCTTATAAACAGGTGGGGAGGTGGAGGGGTGTAGACATTCAACTACAGTTCTGCAGTAGGGTTCTCATGTTAACTGTAAAAAAAAAGTTTTGGGTTGAAAATACTAGCATATTTTATTTTTAAATTTTATTTCAATAATCCTTAGGAAATAAATCATGATTAAATAAGTGATAAATTTTTAAAAAGTTAATCTAACATCTTATTAAGTAACAGTATATATATTACAATACTTTGTCAATGAGTCATCAACTATGTGATAAGTTTAAAGAAATCTGTCCAATAGAAGTGGTCAAAATTTTGCTCGCAAGTTTCCACCCATGTTGGATCATATAGGAGAAAGGAAAATTTAAGGAAAACTTACTTGGGTACAATATAATGTTCCAGTAACAAAGTGGTCTGGATAAAGATGAGTTTCTGTACAGAAGGTTCTCATTGGTTCAGCTTTATGGGATGGCATGGTCAAATGACAATCATCAATTTTGGTTCCCTGGCTCAAATCTGTAGTACATCCAAGCAGCTCCTTAGAAGAGAGTAACGAAAACTAAGACAGATGGAAATTGTGCTTGCCACACAATCTCTTCAAATGCCAAGGTTAAAGAAGTTGATGAACTCTACTTCATCTGCCATATGTGGCTTGAACTCTACTCCAATGGAGTTTCTGTGGGGTTTTTTTTGGTTTTTTTATTTTCTTCTAGTTTGAGAAATTAAATTATAGCAAATGTAATCAAGTAGCCTAGGTTTTTGTAGGCATAATTTTACATGCTAGTAGTCAAAAAGACATACAAATAAAATTAAATAGACTTATTTATTTTGTAATTGGAGTTGGACTCCAAGAAGAGAAAAGATTTCGCATATTTAGGTAGCATTGCCACCTCTGAAGGAGACTGCTTTATAAAGCCGAAAAAGCCTTTGCAACCATGCAAAATACATGGCAATCAAAAAAAATCTCCAAGACCAAATGCAGACTTTTCAAAAGCAATATCCTTAGCATTCTACTGAATGCTGGACAGTAACAACAAGCGGATTACTGGACTTTTTTCAAACTAACTTGTGAAGCATAAAAGGTGTCCAATTGCCTAACACCATTTCAAATGCTAGACTACTAGGAGAGATGGAAATGGAAGCAGTTTCCTAAATAATTGAAAAAAACAATGTGGCACAGGATGGGGCACGTCCTTGAATGAATCCAGAAGGTATTGCAAGAATGGTGCTTAATTGGATGCCTCAAGGAAAAAAGAAAGCAGGGTGGGTCAAGGAGGGGAATGGTGGGGAAGCAGCTGGATGAAAGGAAAAATTGCTGGTGAACAGCAAGAAGTGGAGGGAGGTTTCTGAGGCAGCTCCATGTCTTATGCACAAAAAGGAAAAACTGATATGTAATTGGGATTGAGAGAAAATAATGATCTCTGGTCTAAATTTAATAAAATGTTAATTAGTTTAACCTTTCATACAGTCAACATTATGTTATCCCTTATAGAAATAGTTATGTTTTTTTTTTAATTCTACTACCAGCAATGTTCCTGAGAAATATCTCAAATCAAGTTCTGTATTGCTGAAGGTGAGGGGTCAGTTTTGACATCAGTTCCATCACATTGCAAAGTGTAAACTAGGTGTCACATGATACACATTTAAAGGGAAGAAAAGACATTTTTCTTAGTCATACGACCACACCAAATTATGTTTTCTTAAAATAACGTACTTCATTTGTATTGCTACAACTTCATTATTATATTATAAAAGATGATATATAGAGAGAAAAACTGCACTTAGTCATTGTCACCTTGATAAATTATAAAGGGTTAATTTTTGTACATAAATTAAAATTGATAACTTAAAAATTGTTTTTTAATCAATGTTAGTTTAGAAGTCATTCATAAATGTTAAAATCAAAGGGAATAGATTGAACTTTAGGGTCATGTGTAAACAGAGGGGTAGAGGTCAAAGAGAGTGTCGTCACAATATCTGACTGATCAATGTGACCCAGCATCTATATATACAATTCTCTTCTGGGAGCCGTTAGGAAACAAGCTGCAAGCGCGCCTTACAGTCCCCTCTTTTCCTCTCTATCGCTACCCCCCCCCCCACCCCCTCACATGGTCTGGTGAGCTGTGGTTCACGCTGTTTACATTTTGCAATCATAGAGACGGGTTTGGTGACGGCTATTAGGGGCAGATAATTTAGTTTGAAACTATTTTAAACTTAGAGGAGGTAACTAAGAGGAGGCTGCTTTCACGTGGGGGGGGGGGGGAGGGGTGTTTAGTGTTTTTAAGCAAATATTTTCAGTGGCAGCATTGGTACTGTCGAATTCACAAATTATAAATTACTGAAAAGTAGAAAAAAAAAAACTAAATAGCGGCGTATGATACGGAGCGGGTCGGCTCGTATTGAATATTTTTTAAGTAAGTTGCTGTTTCATAAAACAAATATTGCATTTGGGTGTAGCAGTTTTGTGTGCCATTATTTTTGGACGAGGGTGTCTAGTTTCTTTTTAACAACTTCTTACAAGGTTGATGTCATTTATGGACAGACCCTAAAGGCTGAGTTTTAAGATTTGGGTAAGATAAAATAGTTGCGAACAATGTATTAAGTTTGCTATTATATTAGGATAGATTTTGATTTTCTGATTAAATGTGGGCTCTTCAGAGTTAATGAGGGTTAAAAAAGTAGCAATATTGACAGGTTGGGGTTTATCTAATAATATTGGGTTTTTTAATGTACAAATAAAGCAAATTTAAAAAGAAATTAAAAAAATAATAAAAAACAAACAGACGCAAATGTGGTCTGACACACACCCTCACTACAATAAAGATGATGGATATTATAATTTGACACGAAAACAACAATACATAATCTTTCGACTTAGAACAGGCCATAACAGACTAAATCAACACATGCATAAAAAACTAAAGGTTGGGTGTGGTGAAATGTGCCCTTGTGGCAAGGCCCCGGAAAATACGGAGCACGTCCTTCAAGACTGTTCATTAAATAGCCAGGTACGATCCAAACACTGGCCCCTATACACCCCACTCAAGGAAAAACTATGGGGCACCCGCTGATCTGGAGACCACAGTCTAGTTCATACACGAAATTGGGCTTGTTTAAATCCTCCGTCATATACTAAATTAAGAAAGAAGAAGACCCATAAAATAGTATGGTGAATAGCCTTCTACGCTATGCAGAGAGTTATTGATTGAAAATTCAGTCATTAGAGCTGAACAGAGAGACAATGTGTATAAGGAACATATTTTGGATAATTTAGGGAAGTAGGTTAACTCAGATTGGGGAGGCTGAAGGGTCTACCATTTTGTTTTGCTGATAAATAATCCACAAGTTTATTTGCGAGTCTGTGAATTTCAATTTTGATTACTTATGAGAAAGCAAATTTTATTCATTAACATGCTGAATAAAAATGTTCTTTTACTGTTTACATGCATAGCTTGAGAATTGCGACAAAAATCCAAGATAAATAAATCTAGTGATTAAAGGAAAATAGGACAGAGTTTAAAATTGCCTTGGGTTAAGGTGCATTAGTTTCCATTTAGTCAGTGTTGAACTACAAAGATAAGACAAATATGAATTGTATATTAGTGGTAGATGAAGCTTTCATTTGAATTTCTGACAAAATGTTTTGGATTTCTGCTAGGCTGGTTTTAACTTTGCAATGCAACAGATGTAACAGATGGTTTTCATGTTACTGCAGTGTTTATTTATTGTGTTTATTGTTAGGTTTTTTTAAATACTGGATTAAAATTGACCCAAGGATTTACATTAAATTTACATGTATAATCTTAAATTATCCAACCACTTTTCTTTTTAAATACCAGTATACAGAGTAAATTAAATGAGTAATGTAACTAAAATTATGTAGAAGTATGTCCCTGACATAACTTCCCTTAATTGTTTGTGTGTTGTGTGTTCGAACAACAGCTACACTCTATTTGTGCATATTTGTAGCCCTTGGTTGAGTGAATTTACCTAGAATGCTAAGTGTTCACAAGAGAATTGACAGTTGACAGAGTTGTGGACGAGTGTGCTGTGGTGTTAACTATTGTTGTATCTTATTTTTCCCACGTTTTCTTTAACTTGCTTTCGCGTCTGTTTGTTTGTTTGTTTGTTTGTTTGTCAATCCATCAAATCTTGCGATCGAAATTTCGGGCATTTTCTACTTTTTAGTGCAATCAGAAAACGTGGGTTTTTAAAAAAAATTTTTAATGATAATTATTTGTATTATCTCTTGTATTAAACTATTTTTTTTAATATCAGCATTAGTATTGTCAAGTCTGTTGTTGTGCTATATTTTGTGTTGTCCAGCATTATTATATGAGACAGATGCTAGATGGCTATACATTATTAGTTTTTATCAAAAGTTATGTTGAAAGTAAAAGTAAAAAGTTGATAGCATCATTGCATGTATAGCATTTTATGATGGATGAAACCAAATAAACACAATAGTCTTTTATATGGAGATTATATTGATCTATTATTAGACTGGGGTTTGTTTAATAAGTACCAAGCGTGAATTCTATTGTATTTCATCACTTTATTGACCACTGAAACCTACCTAGATCTATAGTGAATTGATATAATTAAACCCATGCAGCAGCAACTAGACCCATGTAAAAATTTACTTCAATTCTTCTTCATTCTAAATTATTATGTTGGATAGGATTTCCTACACCACAATGATACCACATTTCAGCATTTTATGGGCCATTTTTCCCATTGATTTCAGCCTGATTTTCTTTCTAGATTTTATTCCATAGCCTTTGTCCATCCACAAATATACTATAAGGCAGCAGCTGTTTGATTTTGGAGTATCTCTCTCCTAAATGGGTTGCTGTCTCTTGCTAATGAGCCTCGATTGCATACGGTTTGGAGTAAACTGACACGCCCTGCCCGACCATGCCTATCCTTTATTCTGTCAAACTTCAGTGTTTCTGATGGAATCTAACTTAGAAGCTATTTTACTACACCTCACATAACATTTTAATTTGCCGATATAAAGATGTATCTTCATTATTTCTCTATTTAACATTAACAAATGTGATACTATTAAACCAGATAGCCACCAAAGTAGAAAAAGCCTTTTACAAAATTGTCATGTAATAATTTTATCATGTGCGAAGGATTGGAGAAGACAATACTAAAACTTTCATTCAGAGCTAAGCAGTCTCAATCACAGTTGATTTCTGATATTTATAACTTTTTTTATAAGACTTTTACTGGAGTAGCATGAGGAAAGATATTTTAAATCAAACAAAATTCAAACAATCCCTTTTTGCAACCATGCATCAATCTTTAATAGCGAAAAATTATTACTTAGATTAGGGGTGTCAAACTGATTTTTAAAAACGGTCCCAGAGCTTTTTTGAAAGTTGCTATGTCAAAAACTCATCATTCTAAGATGATGTGGTCACTAAATTTGTTCATATATCTAGTAAAAAGTAACAAGTATGCCTATAACAAGTACGTTTGAAACGTGTATGATCAGAAGAGTGCAGGGGTTTACAATCTGTCGAAAAT